CACTGCTAAGTCATTTTGCAGAGGGACTGTGCTGCATTGCACTACCGCCCACTGTGTGAAGGGCCCCCTGCCCTTCCCAGCACTTGGGATTGTCAGAATATATTTATTTAAGCCAGTCTAATGAGTAATGATACCTCATTGCAGTTTTAATTTCCATTTCCTTAATGAACAATGTTGCTGATGATCTTTTATGTGCTTTTTAAGCATTCCTACACATTTTTTGGTGCCATGTTCATTCAAACTTTTTGCTTGTGTTTTCATTAGGTTGTTCATCTTTTATTACAGTGCAAAAGTCCTCCATGTATTTTGGATGAGTCCTTTATCAGATATATGCTTTGCAAATATCTTCTCCCAGTCTTGACTTGTGTTTTCATTTTCTTAGTGCCTTTCAAAAAGCACAGGTCTTAAGTTTTGATAAATTCCAAGCTATCAACTTTTTCTTGTATAGTTTTTATTTTTTTCTCACAGCTCAATAACCTTTGTCTACCAAGGCAGTAAAGGTTTTGCCCTATATTTTCTTCTGGAAGTGATACAGTTTTAGTTTTATACTTAATTCTGGATCTATCTTGAATTAATATTTGCAAATGGTGTGAGGTATAACCCAGAGCTGTTTTGACTTGTGTTATTTCCTACTGTGCAAGCAGCAGATCAATAAAGCTTCACATCTCTGATAAGTACAGGTGACATTGTAACGATTGCAAAATCTGGTCAAGGTTCAAACACAGATGATCAGGGAAGCTCCACCTTTCTGACTCCAGGGCTACTTTTTTAGAAGTTAATCCTTTCTTTACTGTGACTCTACAGCTGTGCCCAGTGAGGCCAGCACAAACCTGTCTTTATCTGCAGGGAGCTGGGTTCTTCCTAGTTCCTAAAATACTCCAGGTAGCTAGATGCTTCAGGAGACAGTGTTCTCTCTCACACTACTGAAGGCACACTCAGTACAAAGTAGGGCATTCAATCTTAGCAATTAGAAATCCTAACTGGGCCTTCCCTGGTGGTGCAGCGGGTTAAAGCACAGCACTAAGAAGCTTAAGCCACTTCAGCATGAGTTCGATCCCCGCCTGCGCTGGAGGATATCCACATGGCGGGCAGACCTCTCCTGACCCGCCCGCTGCTCCCCTCAGCAGTGTGTTTCATCAGTCTGCCTGTTCTGCTCCCCACTCTGTCTCTGGTGAATCTTCTCACCCTCCACATCTCTGGCCTGTACCCCAGTTCTGTATGAATAAATAAATAAACCTTAAAAAAAAAAAAAAAGAAAAGAAATCCTAACTGTGCTAGCTCCCATTCTTCTTGGTTGCTTTTTTTTGATCACCAACTAACATTATTTTTTAGTTCCTTTCCCCCTCAGTAATACTAGCTTTGAAAGTTTCATTAAAATCATTTAGATCTTGGTATCCTTAAAACTTCAAGAATAAAATCCGGGAGAAGAGATGGCTGGGTAACCAACACATTATTGTAAACTTGTGAGTTGGCCAATTGCAGGGTTTTATTTTTTACATCATTCTTCATTTTGTCAATTGCAAGTGTTTTAAGGGAGGCTACTATCTTGTACAATTACCACAACTCCATGAGAAAGGGGGCATTTACAAAAGTGCCATAAGATACCTGTTCATACCATGAGAATGGTTATTATCAAAAAGACAAGAAACAACAAACCTTGGTGAGGATATGGAAAAAAGGGAAAACTAATGCTCTGATGGTGGGAATTTATATTGGTGCATTATCCGGTGCATTAATATGGAAAACATTATAGAGAATCCTTAAAGAATAGAACCACTATGTAATCCAGCTATTCTACTCCTAGGTGTTTATACCCCAAATAAGAGACTAAATTGAAGAGAAACACGTACCCCAAGTTCACTGTTAGAAAACTGATGTGATGAAACCAGTGTAGACCAATGTTACTTCAATAAAAATTTAAAAACAAACATTTCTAAGATATTATGAAGTAAAACAACATTAAAGCGAAAACTCCCATGTAGTTTTAAAATTTCTACATATATAAATATATACTATGAACGAAAGGGGGTGTTTAAATAACCCTACAGTGTACAAAAAAATTGGAGGGACATAATCTCAGAATTAAAAAAATCAACTATTTGAGAATCAACTATTGCTAACTTAATTGAATATAGGAAAGTATTCACACATTTATCTGTTTTTTCTCCCTTTACTGCAGGTGAGTAAAAGCTTCACTTTGAATGATACCTTGGGACTCAGACCCTGAAGTGTATAATATGGGTGAGGCAGGGGAGGTATTTGGAGAAAAGCTTTTTTCTCTCCCTTGTTTATAATACCTTTAGCAAGGACTCCTAGGGTTCAAAGTCCTAGTCTCAGTATTTAGATTTTCTACAGGGAGTAGTGTTTATAAATTTAAAAGTAGGAGAAAGCTAAGTTGAAAATATTCCAGACCCTTCCTTTGTCCGGCGCCAGTAGTTTTTGTACTTCTTTTTTGAGCAAAAGAAAGGAGGGAAGCGTATTGGAGCCATTCTTCCCAGCCCACAGTCCTCGTCGCCCCCCACCCCAGCTTTAAACATCATCTGCTCCACCCCCCACCCCCTATGGCTCTGCCTCTTGCAGTATCTCCTTTATTGAGGTAGAACACAGACAGTCCCAGGTAGACATGTATTCTTGTTCAATTCATCAATGATTTCTGGCACGCAGGATGAAGACCTCATTACCAACTAAGCCCACCCTGCTGTAGAGGGTCTCCCTCTGGTCCACTTCTCCAGGCTTGGTCTTCCTCTCCGACAGGGCTCTGACCTCAGCAGTTTGCCTTCAGCTTCTCCAGAGTCACACCCCAAACATTCTTCCCTTTTCTTCTCCTAGGCAATGTTTACTCTTCAAGCCCCTCTCCTCCCAACTAGCTTCATCAACCCCATCCTGTAACAGGTACAGGTTTCATGGACTCCGCCCCCACTCCAGATACTGGAACTGCTAATCCCATCAATAACTAGGAGAAGCACCCTGGGACTTGAGGACTGAGCTGAGCAGCCAGGTTGGGATAAAACTGGACATGTGGGCTCTGGGGGGTCTCTTGGCCTGGTGGTTCGCGGCTGGTCGCTTGGCTCTCCAGCAGTTTTCAGCATGCTAGTGGAGTCCAAGTCAGCAGAACTGGTAAGACATTCTAGCTTAACTTGTATTTCTCTCCCTCTTTCCCTGGGTTATTCCTTATAAATAAATCCATTATTTAACCTTTTTGAGTGTCCTTTTAAGTGTGTCCATAATACGATTGACTAGTAAGCACGCGGGTGAAGACCCACAGACAGGCAACCCAATTCATATTGGGGTGCCCTGTAACAATCCCACCCCCATTATCCTCTTCCTTTGCATCCTGAACTTTGTCTTTCTAGCAATTGTCACAACCATAATTATCTGGTTTCTCAAGTAGAATATAAACACCAAAAGATTAGAAATCAAGTCTGTCTTGTTTACCAGATCTTCCAGTCCCTGGCACGGGGCATGACAATTAGTTGCTGCTCTAGAAATTACTGTTAAATGTGAGAAATTTTCTTTAACACATGATCCCAGGCACTGTTCTGACACTTGATATGTATCAGTTGGGGGAGGGGGCAAAAAGAGAAAAAGAAATCCTGCTATTATGGAGCTTATATTCTCCTGGGGCAAAAATCTATCAAACAAGATACATACACTACATGTTATGTTAGATAAGTGCTAAGGAGAAACAAACAAAAGAGTTAAGGGGGACACAGGCATCATCATTGTGGTTTGATCTATGAAATTTTTAGATTGGGTGATCAGGGAAAAGCTCATTGAAAGATGTGACTTTAGAAAAAAGATGTGAAGAGAATAAAGCAGTTGAAACTCAAGTTATCTGGGGAAAGCATTCCCAGCAGGTAGAACAGCAAGTGCAAAGGCCCTGTGGTGGGAGCATGATTGTTCCAGGAACCACAGATATTCGTACAATTGAAGTGGATTGAATGAAGGGAGGGAAGTTGGCCTTATAATCTGTCCTACATATCCATGGAATTACCAGACATTTCTTGCGGAGAAGTTCTAATCAGCTACTCTAAAACCATGAATTTCAAATGCTTCTTTTTTTTTTTTTTTCTAAAAAAGCAGTAGAACCATTCTTTCAAATGAAACATGAAATGGAAGTTCCAGATAAGAAACAGTCTGTCTACTACCTCTCCTCTTTTCATCTCATGCTGTTCCAAAGCAACACTCCAGAGTTAATTAAGCTCCCTATCCTGGAGCAATAGAAACCACAGCTCTAGAATCACAGTATGGCTCCGTCTAGATTCATGTGTACTACAACCCAAAGTTGTCTCCCCTGGCTCCAGTAAGCTGCAGGAGATTTTCAGCAGGTATTTACCTTTAACATGTGAGTGAATTTAGAGTCTCTCGAGTTACAACCACATGGTGTTATGTGGGTCTGGTATGTTCCTAGAAATTAGTTCTCCCTGCTGGAGCTTCTTACTTATAAGCATAAAAAATTTTACTTTTTTGAAAGGTGAAGCAGGGCATACACTTAAAAAACCAGTCTTCTATGGATAAATAAAGCTGTATTTGCATGAAATACCATACATTTAAGCAAAAAAAAAAAAAAGAATTAGTAACATAGTTACAGCAAAAGGTACCAGCCATACACATGAGTAAATGCCATATAACCTGGGTATAGGATGTTTGTGAACAGCAAAGATAATCTTTGCTGATAGCATTAGTAGGCAGACTGCGGGGTACCCCAGAAACCCCAAGCTTATACACTCTAATAAGGTTCTGCCATCTGTTGCTTAAAGTCAAAGCATACTCTTTGTGTGAAAGAACTGTGATAGACTAGGCACATAGAGGGAAGAAGTGAAAGGATATAGTTTCCCAATGAAACACTCAAAGTTACCCATCCTCTTGTGGATAAATGCCCAGTCAAACAAAATTGGCCTAAAGTGGGGCTGTTGAGGCTGGAAAACTTGCCACAAGCCTAAGACACCTTCTGGCAAGGAACCATAGGAAAGGAGCTGAAGGGGCCAGGCAAGACCGGGATGGAAGAAGCAAAATCAAAGTACAAATCAAGGTAATAGCTGCTTGTCAGCTGCCCTGAGGGTTTTTTACTCTCAGCTCTTCTAAGAGTCTCTGTTGTCTCAGCTCCATGTGTCTCTTCCATGTCCCTCAAGTCCCTTGTGCAAGTCCAAAACCAAGAAGCAAGTATGGCTTCTTCGGCATATGTCTCTCTACTCCATGTGGTCTCTTCAAAGTCTCCTCTTCAAGTCTTTTATATCTTCACCATGATTCCCAGCTCCAGCCTTCATTGTGATGTGGGAAGTGGTGGTGGTGGGGGGGGGGGGGCATGGAACCTCCCTTTTCTATGGAGATTGCTCTCTGTAATAATTCTGCTCCATAGCGTTAGGAGTTGGAATAGTAGTTATCTCCAGGGAGGGGGACAGCTCACTGAATGGATGGATATTTTCTATATCTTGATCTGGATTGAGGACATAAAGGTGTAGCATGTGTGTATATCTATATATGTAGAAATTCACTGAGCTGTATAGCTCAGTGCATTTGTGCATTTTATTCTATATAAATAATAACAGTAATAATAATAATAAAAGGGCCTTTCCACTACCCTTTGCTCCCAGCTACCCTCCCCAGAGGACATGCCTCCATTTGGGAGATCTTTTTTTTTAAGATTTATGCATATAGGAACTGGGGTATAGGCCAGAGGTGCAGGGAGTGAGAGGCTTCAACAGAGACAGAGTGGGGAACAGAACAGGTGGATCCACTGAAACACACTGCTGAGGGGAGCAGAGGGCAAAAGAGAGGAGTGCTCATGTGGGTCATGTGGGTCACCTCCCTGGCTGGGGATAGAACTCAGGCTGCAGATAGCTTCAGTGTTGTGCTTAACCCCTTGCACCATGAGGGTGCCAGTTGGGAGTTTTTAATGTCTCATTTCTTTCAGTAACTTCGTACCAGGCGCAGAGTCCAAGCAGACACCAGTGGTGGTAGTTGCTGATTCTGGGCTATGCTTTTTGTACATGCTCCTTGGTTTTCTCTGGCCCTCTGGCCCTGTCACTCCAAACCATCCTCTTTTTCCTCCCTCCCTACCAGAGATGGCAGGGTTGGGAGCAAGGCGAGGTTGCTGACCCTAGCTCAACAGTTGTTCCTCCTGGCCCTCCAGGGTGTGTGTCCCGCCTAGAGAGGACAGTGTGTGCTGATTAAGCTTATCCTACACACTTTCCCTCCTGCTTTTATTTTCTCCTTTCTGATTCTTGTACCCCTTGTACTTCCTGCTTCCTGGGCACTCAGACTCATCGAGCTTTTCTGGGCTCACCCTCTGGTATGCTTCCTTTCTGCAGGGCAGTCCGGATAATACCCCACTTCGTGTTTGCATATACATGAGGTCTATTTCAGTGAATGCTGAGTGCTTTTTTTTTTTTTTATCTTTCCTACACACCCCTACCCCTCCAATTTCAAGCATTATCCCCTGTCCTTATCCCCACCCAGGGCTTCAGTACCATCTAGACTTTTATCGTATCATCTGAAGTCCTCCCTTACCACGACTCCCCTTTGCCTGTGGGAAGAGGGGCCTAAGTCACTTTTAAGTAAGTCTTCATGAATCTTCTAAGTCTGGGGAGGGGAGGCACACGCCAGGCTCAGTAGGAACCGTCCTCAATCTGATACTTTGTATTGGTCCTTCCCAAATGCCAGGCACTGAGCTGCGTTCTTTTTGAGCTTTGTCTCAAAGAATTTTCAAAACAACTCTAGGAGGAGGGTAATGTAGCCTCATTTTGGTGAAGAACCAGCCAAAGCACGAGATTAGGCTGCTGGCACGTGGCCGCCAGGATTTGAACAGCAACTTCCCTAGGGAACGCCCTCTTTAGACTCTGGGGGGACTTCAGGAGGGGGGTCATTAGGTCAAGGCAAAGGAGCTCAATGTCCGGCCTGGAGGGACCTTTAGTTGAGCCACACCCTTTCTGCACAGTCCCTCCCGTATCCCTCCCAAGATGAGAGCCTGGTAAGGGGCTTACGCTGACGTATCAGCCGGAGGCAGGGACTTTAGGTGGAGATTTAGCCTCCGCGTGGCAGAGGATTAGAAGGGCGCAGGAGGAAAGGGCCAAAGCGGCGCCTTCGGCTCTGGGGACACTGCAAGCCTCGAGGCACTGCGTTCGGCGCGGCTGTTTCAAGCCTCCGCGGAGCGCGCAAACTGCGCGGAACTACTTCCCCGGGGCGGTTTCGGGGCCAGGATTCTAAACGCTGCCCCACCCGGTGGCAGAGCGCGTCCCGCAGCCCACCGCCCGCTCCCGGGCGCGGCCACGTGCGCCCAGCAGAGCTCGCACGCTC